ACCACAAACGCTGCCTAAGGAGAATGTCACACCAGTCACCCCAACCATAGACTGCTCACTACTCTCCCATCTGGGAGACGTTATAAGAGTCTTCGTTGTTGTACCAGCAGACTCAGGAATAGTTTTTTTTCCCTCAGCTGTCAGCCTACTGAACTCTAATCTCTGGCTACATTTACACTAGTGCGTTTTCATTTTAAAATGCATAACTTTTGCTACGATTACGCCTGTCGTTTACACTACCCCAGCGTTTTCGACCCTCGAAAAGGGAGACTTTCGTAAACGCTGCAGACCCCGTTTTAGTTGAAAACTTCGAAGTTGCGTTTCAGTGTAGGAAGTAGGCGTAGTGTAAGCGCCTGTGAGAATATGCTAGTCTCGCGAAAACCAACGTTTCCTTACTTTAGCAAAGGTAAACCAGTCTCCTCTTGGCTTATATCGAAATCCTCTGACATTTTTCTTTACAAATCCTCATTTTGTATTTCTAATTCGTGAACTGTGTTTTGTTTTGTTCTCTCCTCTCTGCTTCCGCGCTCATAACTTCTCACTGGTGCATGCGCTATGCCTACGTCCTACGCCCGGAACGGCTTTCACGTACAACAGTTAGCGCAAGCTACAGAAGACTGGTTATAACATTTTAAATATGGATATGTTCCTTACAAGAATGCATCGATTCGCTACAGGAGGCCTTTATTCACCCCCCGGAGCCGTGTGAGGCACTTTTTTTATTAAGGATGGATGCACTTTATTGAACTTATTTTGGACTGTTGAACAGAAACTCCCGCCCACTGCCATTATAAAGCTTGGAAGAGCCAAGGCAATTTTTAATATAACTCCGATTGGATTCATCTGAAAGAAGAATGGCATATACACCTAGGATGGCTTGAGGGTGAGTAAATCATGGGCTAATTTTCATTTTTGGGTGAACTATCCCTTTAAAGTAGTGCTAATATGCACAGCGCTGCTTTGTGTACGGCAGTAACCAAGTAAACGCTGCTGTTCCATAAGCGCTACCTGCTGGCAGAGAGTGAATCTGCATCTCATTCAGCCTGTCTGCTGTTTCGGTAATATGCAAGTGTTTAATGTAGCATAATTTCACAAAGCTAAAGTCAGACCATTCTGTTTTTGTTTCAAATTTTGAAATTATACAGTCTAATTTAAATCAAACATTGCACATGCTACAAGTGTGTATAATGTTTTTTTGTTTGTTTGTTTGTTTGTTTGTTTTTGATCGATTCATGATTAAAATGCAGTGGTTACCACTCATTTCAAATGGCTATGAAAAATCAAGGTGCAACACAGTGAAGAATATGCAATGTTATTTTACATGTGATAATTCAATTTT